CCCCACCACTGACACCCCCATTTATTATGAGTTCTTCATTTTGACTACATAATATAATAAAGCAATGTTACAAACAACTAAAATGGTAAACTATTCTCGAGTTTAGTACAGGCTGTGTTGTGGCAGCAGTGAGGAGCCACGTGGGGGCAGCAGTCAGCCGGTCACTCAGGCCAGACTTGGAGGCTTCTCACTCAACATGCCTGACACTCCCATAGAGGCTAGCTGTCTTCCTAACCCCCCCCCCCCATCCCCACAATACATCCCCTTACCACTGACTCCCACATTTATTATGAATTCTTCATTTTGATTATGGAATACAATAGAATGGTGTTACAAGCAACTGAAATGGTAACAGTTTTTTCAGCTAATTTATTTAAAAAAAGCAGACAGTGAGTGAAACATAATTGGTGGTAGCCGGCGCCAGCCATGTGTTGCCAGCCACTGTAGCTGAGATCTCACCCACCACCGACACCACCTGCCTCCCCTTGACAACAGCTTCCACCACCGACACCACCTGCCTCCCCTTGACAATAGCTTCCACCACCGCAACCCGTTCTCGCAAATTCGTAAAGTCAATATTGACTTATTAACTACGTGCATAGGTGATATACTAAACATAATAGATACCCTTAAAAAGATTCATAGAAAACACCGACCTTACCGAACCTTGTTAGTATCTTAAGATAAGCATCTTATTGCTTCGTAATTACAATTATTACTTAACCTATACCTATTATAGGTTAGGTAATAATTGTAATTACGAAGCAATAAGATGCTTATCTTAAGATACTAACAAGGTTAGGTAAGGTCGGTGTTTTCTATGAATCTTTTTAAGGGTATCTATTATGTTAAGTATGTCACCTATGCACATATTTAATAAGTCAATATTGACTTATTAAATTTGCGAGAACGGGTTGACCACCGACACCACCTGCCTCCCCTTGACAACAGCTTCCACCACCGACACCACCTGCCTCCTCTTGACAACAGCTTCCACCACCGACACCACCTGCCTCCCCTTGACAACAGCTTCCACCACCAACACCACCTGCCTCCCCTTGACAACAGCTTCCACCACCGACACCACCTGCCTCCCCTTGACAACAGCTTCCACCACCGACACCACCTGCCTCCCCTTGACAACAGCTTCCACCACTGACACCACCTGCCTCCCCTTGACAACAGCTTCCACCACTGACACCACTTGCCTCCCCTTGACAACAGCTTCCACCACTGACACCACTTGCCTCCCCTTGACAACAGCTTCCACCACCGACACCACCTGCCTCCCCTTGACAACAGCTTCCACCACCGACACCATCTGCCTCCCCTTGACAACAGCTTCCACCACCGACACCACCTGCCTCCCCTTGACAACAGCTTCCACCACCGACACCACCTGCCTCCCCTTGACAACAGCTTCCACCACCGACACCACCTGCCTCCCCTTGACAACAGCTTCCACCACCGACACCACCTGCCTCCCCTTGACAACAGCTTCCACCACTGACACCACCTGCCTCCCCTTGACAACAGCTTCCACCACTGACACCACTTGCCTCCCCTTGACAACAGCTTCCACCACTGACACCACTTGCCTCCCCTTGACAACAGCTTCCACCACCGACACCACCTGCCTCCCCTTGACAACAGCTTCCACCACCGACACCATCTGCCTCCCCTTGACAACAGCTTCCACCACCGACACCACCTGCCTCCCCTTGACAACAGCTTCCACCACCGACACCACCTGCCTCCCCTTGACAACAGTTTCCACCACCGACACCACCTGCCTCCCCTTGACAACAGCTTCCACCACCGACACCACCTGCCTCCCCTTGACAACAGCTTCCACCACCAACACCACCTGCCTCCCCTTGACAACAGCTTCCACCACCGACACCACCTGCCTCCCCTTGACAACAGCTTCCACCACCGACACCACCTGCCTCCCCTTGACAACAGCTTCCACCACTGACACCACCTGCCTCCCCTTGACAACAGCTTCCACCACTGACACCACTTGCCTCCCCTTGACAACAGCTTCCACCACTGACACCACTTGCCTCCCCTTGACAACAGCTTCCACCACCGACACCACCTGCCTCCCCTTGACAACAGCTTCCACCACCGACACCACCTGCCTCCCCTTGACAACAGCTTCCACCACTGACACCACCTGCCTCCCCTTGACAACAGCTTCCACCACTGACACCACTTGCCTCCCCTTGACAACAGCTTCCACCACTGACACCACTTGCCTCCCCTTGACAACAGCTTCCACCACCGACACCACCTGCCTCCCCTTGACAACAGCTTCCACCACCGACACCAACTGCCTCCCCTTGACAACAGCTTCCACCACCGACACCACCTGCCTCCCCTTGACAACAGCTTCCACCACCGACACCACCTGCCTCCCCTTGACAACAGTTTCCACCACCGACACCACCTGCCTCCCCTTGACAACAGCTTCCACCACCGACACCACCTGCCTCCCCTTGACAACAGCTTCCACCACCGACACCACCTGCCTCCCCTTGACAACAGCTTCCACCACTTGCCTCCCCTTGACAACAGCTTCCACCACTGACACCACCTGCCTCCCCTTGACAACAGCTTCCACCACTGACACCACCTGCCTCCCCTTGACAACAGCTTCCACCACCGACACCACCTGCCTCCCCTTGACAACAGCTTCCACCACTGACACCACCTGCCTCCCCTTGACAACAGCTTCCACCACTGACACCACTTGCCTCCCCTTGACAACAGCTTCCACCACTGACACCACTTGCCTCCCCTTGACAACAGCTTCCACCACTGACACCACTTGCCTCCCTTTGACCTAAGGAACCTAGGCGTACTTAATCGGAAGCCAGGCAGCCCTCCACCAGGCAAACAAGAATGTGAAAAGAAACTAAGAACTAAACCCTGAAAGTGCACCACAACAGCAGGAGGTCAGAGAGAATCCCGGGCACTGCTAGGTATGCAAGATGCGCAGCACTGTGTGCCCCAACCAGCAAAAAACACTCCCAACCCAGAGCCAAACAAAAGTCCCAAGACCCATGCTGACCCCCAAGGGTGAGGTCAATGCCAAGCAACAGCAACCCCTACTGGAGCGTGACCCCAAAAGCTCAAGGGAAGACAACCCTGAGACCCAAAGGAAGTACTTACAGGATGCTCTGGGAAGAGAATCCTATGCGCATGAAGCCTGAAGTACAGCTTTCACCCGGCCACCGCTCCACCCACACAGCAGGCACAGCTGCAAAGGGCAAAATCCTCATAGGAAATTGAAGCCAGTGGTAACGTCAGCCCAAGTCAGCTTCAATCAACGAACTGATGAGCAAGCGGCCGACTCGGGGAGGCATGAACGAGCGGTGTGTCAGTTGATGGTGGTTTGCTTGTTTGCAATGTTTTACTGGGGGGGGGGGAGTTCTTGGGCTCAATTCGGTCTTGGGTTGCAATATTCTATCAATTGGGGTTTGTTTGGGGATGCCTACCTTTCTGGGTGCCTAACCCCGGTTGATGGCTGACGTGAATATACTCTCAAAGAATGGAGTTTTCACAGGCCATTGCTCCCTGCACCTCTCTGAGGGAACCAGGTTCTGGCTTGTGGTTTCCGGTAGGTACAAGAACTTCATGTGACTGAAGCCCAAGACTATTATAGTATATATCAGTCCAATAGCACCAGGAAGCCGACAGGGCTCCCCACAGAAAAAGAGGTGATATGATCACCACTTGCAATATAATAACAGAAATTGACCAAATTGACAAAGAGAAATTCCTGAAAGCAGCAACTTCAAGAACATGAGGACACAAATTCAAGCTAAGGAAACAAAGGTGCCAAAAAAATATTATAAATATTTCTTTTACAAACTAAGTGGTAGATGGTTGGAACAAGTAATTACCTAAGTGTAATTACCTAAGTGTAGTTACAGGATGAGAGCTACGCTCGTGGTGTCCCGTCTTCCCAGCACTCTTTGTCATATAACGCTTTGAAACTACTGACGGTCTTGGCCTCCACCACCTTCTCACTTAACTTGTTCCAACCGTCTACCACTCTATTTGCGAAGGTGAATTTTCTTATATTTCTTCGGCATCTGTGTTTAGCTAGTTTAAATCTATGACCTCTTGTTCTTGAAATTCCAGGTCTCGGGAAGTCTTCCCTGTCGATTTTATCAATTCCTGTTACTATTTTGTATGTAGTGATCATATCACCTCTTTTTCTTCTGTCTTCTAGTTTTGGCATATTTAATGCTTCTAACCTCTCCTCGTAGCTCTTGCCCTTCAGTTCTGGGAGCCACTTAGTAGCATGTCTTTGCACCTTTTCCAGTTTGTTGATGTGCTTCTTAAGATATGGGCACCACACAACAGCTGCATATTCTAGCTTTGGCCTAACAAAAGTCATGAACAATTTCTTTAGTATATCGCCATCCATGTATTTAAATGCAATTCTGAAGTTAGAAAGCATAGCATAGGCTCCTTGCACAATATTCTTTATGTGGTCCTCAGGTGATAGTTTTCTATCTAGAACCACTCCTAGATCTCTTTCTTTATCAGAATTCTTTAAAGATTTCTCACATAATATATAGGTTGTGTGGGGTCTATGTTCTCCTATTCCACATTCCATAACATGACATTTATTAACATTAAATTCCATTTGCCAAGTGGTGCTCCAGATACTTATTTTGTCCAGGTCTTCTTGAAGGGCATGACAGTCATCTAAATTTCTTATCCTTCCTATTATCTTAGCATCATCAGCAAACATGTTCATATAATTCTGTATACCAACTGGTAGATCATTTATGTACACAATAAAGTGAGAAGGTCTTGGAGGCCAAAATCACCAGTAGTTTCAAAGCGTTATTTGACAAAGGGTATTGGGACGACGGGACAAAACGAGCGTAACTCTCATCCTGTAACTACACTTAGGTAATTACACTTAGCTAATTACACACACACACACACATACAAAAACAAAATAACATGATAAGTACCCTGATTTGAGCAAAGAAGGTTAGATGTTCACGTGGAGTGAGTGTCATGAAGATGACATCATGTTGGGGACAAATACCAGTGATTCGTCTAATATTTGTCAAATCATTGGCATCACTGAAAAAAAATAGATAATATTAGCATACAATGTCCCTCAGAAGATATAATGTCACAAATCATGACTGTGTGATCATATTGTATACGTATCACCATTATTATTATTATTATTTTATTTCATACTTTAACCCTTATACTGTTCAGGGATCCTTGGGACATTTACACCCCTGTGAGCAAGAAAAAAAAATTCAAATTTTTTTTTTCGTCTTCTAAACATGTTAATTTGCCCCCTGAGCACGGAAAAAATAAAAAAAAAATCGTAGGTGACATATTTTGGGCGCAATTGACCGAGGAAGTCTGGCAAAAAGTGGGCGTTGACAGAGCGGTCGTCAGACCCAGTCAGCGTCACCCGCGCTGACAGATGGGAGTTGCCACAAAGATATTATTACCTAATTGTTTCAATGTCTCCGATTGATTTTTTCTTAGTTTTTTTGCAGTAATATTATTCAATAGTGTGTATTGTAATATATTTATATAATAAAAGTGGTGAATAATCGCTATACTCAAAAGTATGATGTGCATATCAGTGATTCAATTATTATGTTTATAAAACAATAAACAAATAGTTTTGCTGCTATTACACTCTATACACAGGTTATATATAAGTATCTGCATGTTTTGGTCACCATAACGAACCACTAAGTTGGTATTGAGAGTCGAAAAGCAACGAGGAGTTACCGCCACACACCAGCCAGCCACTCGCTGCCACTCCCTCAACACACGCACTAAACTTTCTCCCCCAACAATGCCATTTGTGGTGTTATTACACTATATACAGACGTTATATATAAGTATGTATATATTTTGCTCACCACAACTGTACAGCTAAGCTGATATAGTTAGTTCAGGCAATAAGAGTCGTCGCTATACACAGATGGCGGCTGGCGGCTCCCTCACTCTTTCAAGGTCACACGCACTAAACTTTCTCCCCCAACAATACCTTTTGCAGTGTTATTACCCTATATACACATATTATATATAAATATCTACATGTTTTATGCACCGTAACTGTACACCTAAGCTTGTAGTGAGCCCAAAGAGCATAGTGGCCACCCTCTAAACAGCTAGACAAATCGTGCAGACGACGTCACCTCCGTCACCCATATGGCTCCTCCCAGCATAATCCTTTTGCTGTTATTACACGAATACACACATTATATATAAGTATCTACATTTGTGTTCACCATAGAGAACCATTGACTTGGTATGGTGAATGCAAACAATAACAGCTAGCCACACAGTCAGTAAACGATGCTGTCTCCCTCCATCTCTCAGCATCACTCCTCCCACAGCGCTAATTATTACAACAATCCTGCTATTATCACAACCCTGGTTATTTATATCACAGTCATGGGTCATCTGTAATATTGTCATCGCTAAATAATAACAATTATATATTTATTTTTACATTTTTCGGCGATGCTGTGGTCACAAGCTGAACAGCAATGCTGTTCGCTCATGCTGCGTGCGCCGGCCTTGGTTGCTCCAACAGTACTGTGCCTCTCACACCTGAGAATATTGCCCACGATTTTTTTTTAAAATGGTGTCTGTTTACAAGAGCCCTGAGGAAGCTACTGTGAACCCCGTGTAGCCGCGGGCCATTTGAATCAGGCCTGGCACCCTATGGCGCATATATACGCCATGCACACCGTGGGACATGTTACTCAGGGCGTATATATATGCCATGCGCAGTTTAAGGGTTAATGGGCTAGGTAGGTAACAGCCTGGAAAAAATCAAGCAGTAAATGTAATGAACAATTATTTTCTGTGTGCCCCCAGTGGCTTCCTGAACTAAATTGTAATACCACCAAGCCTTACCCCAACACACTAACTCTCTGAAATCAATATATCACATACTGAGAGCCAAGACCAGAATCTGGCTCACTCTATGAGGCAAGTGGAGCAGGAGATAAGAGATCAACCCACCAGAGAGTAAAGGCACCACACAACAAGCAACTGCTTGAAACAAGTTGTTAGGGTATGTGATTGAAAACTGTACTCTTAGAGTACAACTAACAAAACCCATTCTTTCTTGTAAATAATATGAGGAATATTTACCTGAATTTTACCTGAGGGCCACTAATACTAGTGGCCTCGATGAGGACAGGAAGCCAGCGGCTTGACAAAGGTCCACCCCATTTCCAGCTGTATTTTAAAACCAAGCAGAGTTTTGGCATTTACAACTTTGGCGGGTAGGCAGTTCCACGGGTTTACAACAGGCAGGTAGGCTGGGAGGGAGGGAGGGAGGCAGGCAGGTTGGGAGGGAGGGACTGGCTGGCAGACTGGCTGGCAGACTGGCTGGCAGGCAGGCTGGCAGGCCAACCCGACCTCTTAAAAATAATGTCACTTTTGGCTCGTATGCTTACTATGGCCAAATTTGGACATAATATGAAATGAAATCAACTCACAAAAGTGACGTACTGTTCCGTTTTCTGTTTGAGTTGTCTGGCCTACTCGGCAAGGTTAGAAGAGGAAACTTTCAATTAACGTTTTTCATAAAGTTTTGAAACTTTATGAGAATTTCCTGCCCACCTAACCTATCAGAGGACCCTTAACTTACTTATAAAAATTGAAAAAAAAATTGAAAAAAAATTGAAAAATTGAAAAAAAAAAAATTTATTTTCATTTTTTTTCATTTACAAATTACGTCCACTTTCGACCATACTGGTAAACGACCAAAAGCGACATTTTTAAGAGGACAGGTTGGGCAGGCAGGCTGCCAGAGAGGGAGGCAAGCAGGCTGGGAGGCTGGGAGGCAAGCCGCCAGGGAGGCTGGGAGGCAGGCAGGCAGGAAGGGATGGATGGGTGATGAGGTGAACCATGTGACCTTTAGGGAGAGTGTATGGAGGGGTGGGGGTGGTGGGGGAGGGACCGGCTGACTCGGGTAAGCCTAACCACACTCGCCCCGTTACCCAGATTTCTTAACCCTTGTATGGCGCCTGGCTATTTAGCATGTGTCTAAGATTTCAACTTAAATTCAACAGAGCAGAAGAAGTTGTTAAACACATATGGCAAAATCTTACTAAAGCGACCATATGAGTAATAAATACACATACTCCGCCCAAGTAAAACAGAAACAAGCAACACTTAGTGGGCCAGCCAGAGGCTTAGGGCCCGCACAGGAATATCCCTGAAAAAAAAAAAACGTGTCACTCACAGGCACATACCAAAAAAAAATATATATATTTTTTCTTCTAAACCTGTTAATTTGTGTGTTCACTAATCATGAGAAAAATAATAAAAAAATCGTAAGTGGCATATATTGCTCGCTATAGGGTGGGGAAGTCTGGCAAAAAACAGGCGCTGACTCAACGGTCTGTTGCTCGCCAGCTGTCAGGCCGGAGTTGCCACAAAGAGATAATAACCTAATTATTTCAATGTCTCTGATTGATTTTTTTGTAGTTTTTTGCTGTAATAATATTCAATAGTGTGATATATTTATATAATAAAATGAGTGAATCATCGCTGTACTCAAAAATATGGTGTGCATATTGTTGATTCAATTATGTTCATCAAACAGTGAACAAATACTTTGTCGGTTATTACACTGTATACACAGGTTATATATAAGTATCTGCATGTTTTGTTCACCATAACGAACCACTAAGTTGCTATTATGAGTCAAAAAGTAATGAGTGACCGCCACACACCAGCCAGCCACTCACTCCCTCAACACCTCACTCGCCCACATTCTCCTCCCACCATACTGTTTTTGCTTTTATTCACTATATACAGACGTTATATATAAGTATCTACATTCGTGTTCACCAAAACGAACCACTAAGTTGGTATGCTGAGTGGCAGTGGCAATGGCAGCCTGCCACTGGTTGCCACTCCCTCCCTCCCTCACCTCACCTGACTTGCCACCATTCTCCTCCCACCATACTGTTTTTGCTTTTATAAACAGACGTTATATATAAGTATTTACATGTTTTGTTCACCATAACTGTACATCTAAGCTTGTATGGTAAGTAAAGGCACAAAGACGTTGCTACTCACACAATCAGCTGGTGGTGGCTGCCCTCAAGGCCAGACGCACTAATATTTCTCCTCCAACAATACTGTTTATGGTGTTATTACGCTATATACACACATTATATATAAATATCTACCTATTTTATTCACCATACTTGTACAAGTAAACTGGTATGGCGCCCAAAGACCATAGTGGTAACCAGTAAACAACATGATAAGTCGTGCAGACGGCGCCACCTCCCTCACCAAAATGGCGGCTCCCAACCTACTCCTATTGCTGTTATTACACTCTATACAAACGTTATTTATAAGTATCTACATTTGTGTTCACCATAGCGAATCACTAAGCTGGTATAGTGAGTGCAGTCAATAAAAGTTGGCCACACACAGTCAGAAGACAACGCCACCACCCTCCCTCCCACAGCATTACTCCTCCCTCCATGGAGCACAGCGCTAAATATCATCACACTCCTGCTATTATCAGAACCCTGGTCAGTTTTATCACAGTCAGGGATCTTCTGTAATATCATCGCTACATAATAGCATGAACAAGTATATTATGGCATTTTTAGGCGATGCTGCGGTCACAAGCTGAACAGCAGTGCTATGAGTTCATGCTGTGTGCGTCAGGCTTTTTAGCTCACTCAATACTGAGGCCCCTAACACCCGGGAATTTGGCCCACGATTTTTTGTTTAAATGGCGTCAGTTTACAAGAGTAAACTGATGAAGAGCCCTGATGAAGGTGTGGTGAACCCCGTGTATCCGCGGGCCGTTTAAATCTTGCGTAGTACTCCAAAGCATCATATGATGCGATGCGCAACTAAAGGGTTAAATGTACATCATATATATTTTTTTGGTTACAGGTTTTGTTTAGTAATATTATTAGGATAATAAAAAGTTATAAAAATACTTATTTCATAAATGCTTTATTGTATTAGATGGAGATTCTCTGGGAATCTATAAGCTAGCCACTTCGGGAGGGGGGGGGGGCGCAGCAGTGAGGGGGGTGTACTCACATAGTTGTACTCATCTAGTTGTTCTTGAAGGGTTGAGCTCTGGCTCTTTGGTCCTGCCACTCCTGAGGGAGAAGTGGATCAGGTCTTCTCTAATTGGCGAATGCAAACAAAATACTGTCGCATTCATGCTATGAACCTGTCGATTTTTTCCCTTAGAATTATATAAAATTTTGTCTCTCTCCATTTCTCATTTACGAACTTACACGATAACCGACAGGTCTCGTCCCAAAGGGGTTCGGCAACCAAGTGGTGCTCTGTATTGGCAAAAACTTCAAAAGTGCAATTGTTATGGATATATATTTGTTGTTTTTATAAATGTTCAGGTAAAGTTAATGTCAAAATGTTTCCAAACTAAACTATTTTCATTTCAAAACACAAAGTGATGAAAACATTAAAAAACATTAAAATAAAGCCTAATAAGAACAAAACAAAAATGAACAACTCTCAAAACGACATTTGTTGCTCAGCGCAGTTGAGAAGTTAAAGAGCAAATGAGCAGGATAGCTCACTCAATCCATCTATCAATCACACAGGAACTCCATCAAAAACATAAGCATGTGCAATAATCCATGACACCTAATGCATTATTTATGGAAAGCTTTACACATACCTCAAAATATTCAGTACACTGCCTACTCATTAGTCATGTAATATATATCCCTTACCAAACATCCATCCCAAAGATTGAGGCACTGCCTGCTGTTGGAGCTGTCATGCCTGTGAGTACATTAAACAATGTTGTCTTCCCTGCTCCATTGTGGCCCAAGATTGCAGTTATTTGGCCTTCATAAATATCAAGGCTGAAATCTGTTTAAAGTAAAAAAAAAAAAAAAAAAAAAAGAAAAGTTATATAATTTGTCAAGCTGTTTAATACATAATTTGATAACACTAATTGTGATAAGATAATCAACCCTTACATAACACATGTTTTTACCATAACACTGTTTTCATTTAGTGACCAACAAATAAAAATTTGCAGGTTAATGATATATAACAAACTCATGGAAAACTCACTTGTCTATTCTAGCAAAAACAATTATGATTTGACTCCTTCCTAACACCTTCTCACTCACGCTCTTATTCATATATATATTTTCTGGGAGGGCTCTCATCAGTGTCTCTCCGAGCTACTACTTGGACTACTTGGTTGGCCCCAAGCCCCTTTGAGTCGCTAACACCTATCAGGGACTAGGAGCAGAATCTTGCTCCCCTCAACATTGGCAAGGGTGTTTGGGGATATAATCCAGTGGGTACACTATGTTGAAATCGAAACACTGATTGCATTGCTTTTGGGTTGAGACGGTCAAGATATGATGTATTTTCAATTAAATTAAACATTAGTTTATAACATTATTGAAAAAACAAAGGAAGCATATAATAATAGCACTTCATACTAAAAATACTTTGGTAAATATACATATAATAATAGTATTTTAAATGCAAAAATACATATTCACCTGTTGAAATCATGTGCTCGCACCTGTAGCAAGGTATATATAAACCAGTTTTTCAATACACCCTACATATCTAATATTATTTTGACAAAACAAAATTCTATATAACCATTTGTTATATCTAATACAATACACTGTAGATGTTTAATTACTGCTCTGCGCCACCCGACAAAACATGTGACGTGGTATAGCGGTGCGCCACCCAACTCATAAGCGATGTTAGGATATCATAAGATTCAAAACGTGCGTGTGGTAAATTCGGTACGTGATGGACACCTAAGACCTCCAGTGAGTAGCAACCATCTTGAAAAAAAATTCCCATGATAATACATGCATGCATGCATGCATGTATTATCTGGGGCAAATAATACACACAAGGTTGGATAAGTTCTGAGTGAGCAACCAAGGCTGGTGCACACGCTTCCAGCTTCCAAACCCATGTCGGACAAGGTGCCGAAAGATCACTCTCTGACAGTGAAATTCAGACCTTACTGTTTGAAGAAAATAAGGGTAATAACATTGATGAAGAAAGGCCTAAATAAAGACCTAACACAAGTGTGGGATACAAGAACATACACCATGCATGAGGACAATCCGATGAGCGTATGCAGTACAGGGCGAGCGCCAGGTGTGCTGCGGCCTCCCAGGACGATGAGGCCTTGCCTCATCGCCCTTGCCTTTATTATCACCACCTGTGTCATCTCCAATTTTTTAAGTTATACAATAGATGAATTTTGGGGGGGTTCAGTGATGCTGCGTCTGATACAAGTAGCATAGATGAACAGAGTGTTAATGGCTTCCATGGGGTGGAATTACTAGGCCAGTGGTGATGGTGCTAGTACAAGAACGGGTAAATTCGTGAGGGAGAAGTGTGATAATTTTGTACCACACGAACTGCAATTTGATTATACTGATGTTGGTGTTGCACCCACTTACCCAAATACAGTACAAGTGAAGATATAAATTTAAGTGAATATTTTATGGCATATTTTGATGAGCCATTCTTGCAATATCTTGTTGACAAAACCAACAGGTATGCATTGCAACTTATTGCAGATAGCTTATTACCTGCTTCACATATGATAAGTTGGAAAGACAACACTGGCTGAATTGTATGTGTTTTTACCTCTGTCCACTTATGAAACATTCCGTAAACACGTAATACAGTACAACCTCGATTCAACGCACTATGTTGGACCAACCCCTGTTCGTTGCAGGATTGGATTTGTTGCAAAAGATGACCTTCAAGAGGCGTTTGCATCAGTGTATTTTTTCCTTGTGAACAATAAAAATGCATTATCATATTATATACTGTATATATATTACTACTCTACTAAAAAAATACTGTGTTACAGTATAGATAGATTACAGTATACAGTAGTTACAGTATAAATAGAACAAACGTTGAAGCGATCATACGAATCTGAGGAAATGGAATTGGAATAGAAAGCTATACAAGTGATAAAGAAAAATCCAAAATATTTTTTCACATATGCAAAATCAAAATCCTCCACCAGTACTGGACCTTTAATTACAACTGAAAGTACATACAAAGGACAACAAAGAAATTAGTGAAATTCTAAGAAGCCAGTATGAGGTTATGTTTAGCACTCCAATAAACAGCATGAAAGTTGATGATCCTGACAGCTTCTTTATGAATAACATTCAAGCTGCAGATAATATAACGGATATGAACATGAACTCGGAAGACTATGAAAGAGAAATTGACAATATGCCCATGCATTCAGCTCTGAGCCTGATTCGTGGAATTCAATATTCATAAAGAAATGTAAAGTACTAGTAGCGCGAGCACTCAGCGTAATATGGAGAAAGAGCCTAGATACAGGGGAGACCAGCTTCAATTAAATCTGCAGATATAGCTTCTCTGCACAAGGGGAGGGGGGGTAGTAAAGCCTTGGCAAAAAATTATACACCAGTTGCACTAACATCACACATAATAAAAGTTTTTTGAAAGAGTGATTAGGAATCAAATTTCTAGTTTTAAGGAAAATAATGATCTACACAATCCCAGGACAACATGGATTTACTCTAACTTTTCCTCGTAGCTCTTGCCCTTCAGTTCTGGGAGCCACTTAGTAGCATGTCTCTACACCTTTTCCAGTTTGTTGATGTGCTTCTGAACCCCTTAACTGCACTTCCTCCAAATATGACACTCCCCCCCCCCCCCAGTGAGCAGGAAATAAAATCTCTGGAAAAAATTATTTTCTGTTATTAACACTTCCGCGCGCCCGGCGAAGGTAAAAAAAAAAGCGGTATGTGCGCGCGGCGTTTTTGCCGCATAAGCGTAAAAACAAAAATGTGTATACTCTTTTTACTCTCCTGACCTTAGTTCTCGAGCTACGTATTTCATTTTGGTACCAACGTGTTCGCAATAAAATTCTCTAGAAGAACACCAGTAAAAAAAGTCACGAAACGTATAGGGATACCAGCACCAAATAAATAACTACGAAGATGACTCGCCGTGAGCGCCCAACAGCAACAAAATGTTTTTACTCTTGGGATTGTTATCACCTCCACACTTGTCCTACAGCGTTAATTTTGGTATCAATGGACTCGCAATGAAATTCCCAACACGGTGATATGAATATAAATGTAGAATAATGATCGCGGCCCACCCACAAGAGTGTGGGAAGTGGTGAAATTGTTACCCGGTATCGGTGACGGGACGACATATGTGCGATACGGCGCTTTGAAAGTTTATACTTATTTCACTATCCTGACATTATTATTCTATGAACGTCACTTGTCCTACAGCGTTAATTTTGGTATCAATGGACTCGCAATGAAATTCCCAACACGGTGATATGAATATAAATGTAGAATAATGATCACGGCCCACCCGCAAGAGTGTGGGAAGTGGTGAAATTGTTACCCGGTATCGGTGACGGGACGACATATGTGCGATACGGCGCTTTGAAAGTTTATACTTATTTCACTGTCCTGACATTATTATTCTATGTACGTCATTCATTTTTGTGTCAATGTGTTCGCAATAGAATGTTTTATGAGCCCGTAGGTAAAAAAGATCAACAAAGCGTAAGATAGAATAGCGCCAAATATAAAACAACACTGGAACATATCAGTGAGCGTCAAACACACACAAAATATTTTTACTTTTGTTATGTTTGTCAAGTTTATACTTGTTGCACACAGTTATTTTTGGTTGTACATTGATCGGAATAAAATTCCCTAAACAGACATATGCATATAATACATGATATGGGAGAAGCATTACCAGTATAAACGGCTAAAGTCACCCACCTGCAACCCGTTTGGGACACTCATGCAGACACACGCTACACCCAAAAAAAATTCTATGAAGGTTCGAGTCAACTTATGGCAGTTTATGTGATACAGTGTTTATTCTGGTATCAAAATACAAAATACATTACCAGTATAAACGGCTAAAGTCACCCATCTGCAACCCGTTTGGGACACTCATGCAGACACACGCTACACCCAAAAAAAAATCTATGAAGGTTCGAGTCTACTTATGGCAGTTTATGTGATACAGTGTTCATTCTGGTATCAAAATACTCGTTTCAGTTTGTAGTTCATGCGATTTTCAGAATCAACTGAATCGCTGGAGGTTCAACATTTGAGTCTGCGTCATCTGACAAAACCGTCTCGTCAAATGGCAGTGTGCCAGACATCTCGGGTTCTGATTCGGTTGCTGCTTCAGCTTGAGGTGTTGAAGTGAACAAGGGCCGCCTCACACCAGATGGTCCAGGAGTTTGCATGGTGTCATCATAGGCAGGACCTGTGTCATCATTTATGTCTGGAGCGTGCCGCAAGTGTTGAGATACTGTTGCTGTTTGAGGCCAATCTTCCGGGTCCCAGCACAATAGGGCCCAATTTGCCACCTCGTGGAACTGTAGAAATGTTAGCTTTTTTTTGATCAGTTGTGTTGTATTTGTACAAAACAAAGGCATTATGCAAAGCCATTTGCAGGAAATAAAACGTTATCTTTTAGGTCCACTTGTGAGTTATCCTGGTAAAATGGTAATACCATTGGATCGAAGTGGTCCACACCTTTCATGAACTTATTGTACCATGCAGCCTAGTGGTGAGAAAGAGAGCCTCATGGCGCGCAGTTTGAAACAAACCCAAAGTAAATCGGATTAAAATTGAATTTTATACAAATATTTTTTTCAGGACATCATTTTATGTCCACATCACGGAAGCGGGTAGGCGAAACAGGACTCCGGGCGGAGTCCTGATCCGCACAAAGTGTTATAGTGTCAAAAATCCTTCCCTGAGTAAGGGTATAGTAACAAAAGGTTGAAATTGTAAGTACTTTAGCTGCTATGGGGTCCGTAAGTTCGTGCATGA